AATCATAACCGTTATGAGCCAGGGCTTCACTCAATTAGCAGTCTGTCATTTTTTTTAATTCCCAATAAAGGTTGGCAGTGGTCAGAGTGGCAGGTATAGCTGGCTACTTTTTAAAAGGCCAATTATCAGTCTTGGGTATTAAAGTGATGTTACAGATAGTTAATCAGAGAGTTCATGAACTCTGCTATATAGTTCATGGAACTGTCCAACAGTCAATGCCTGAAACAAATATAACTCTTAATTTACTGATAAATTTATGCATATTTCCATTTTTAGCGCCTATGTATGCTGATGTGGGAGTGCATGAATACATGTATATGTGCATGTCTTGTGCTTATGTGTGGGGGCCAGAGGCCAACACTACTACAGGAGTTTTTATGTGTGTTCTCAGATGAACTCATGTCATTATGTTTGTAGAGAACGTTCTTTACTGACTGTGCTACCTCTCTAGTCCTCTATAATTCTTTTCCTCATAGATATGCAGATATATTCAATAGTTTTCATGTATATGATTGATTTCCCTAGACAATAATAAGTTGTTATGCATATTTTGGAAAACATTGCTAATAATAATTTCAAGTATCTCTTGTATGAAGTTTGTGAGCTGAATCACATTTATAGTGTAAGGCTCTTTCTGTTCCAAGTTTTCTTTCTTGAAAAAACAGAATATTTCCTTGTAATAATTAGAATTATATACCAACAGAGCAACTTTGTGCTGTGGTTATCAAGGAGCTTAGAGCTGATTCTGGTGTCTGTTCACAGCATCTGTACTAGCTCCGTCCTTAGCCTACAGCTCTCTTTCCTGACTCATGGACTTCAGTTATTTTAGATATATGCTAGGCAAGTAATCAAACAAAATTAAAATAGAAGATATGTTTTTGAGACAGTTTACCTCTCATCTCAGTGCTAATTAAATCAACACGATATGTTGTAGGCTATGTGGATTGAGGATGTAAAGCTCTGAATTCATAATGTGTTTAAAGACTGTAACAAGCTTTCTTAGCTGGACAATCAATAGACATCAACTAATGATTAGACTGTTTCACCCCACAGAATCTGAGGGGTGGGGTGGAGGGGGCCATGTAATAGTCAGCTCGAGACAGTACAATGAAAGCCATGATCTTGAGAATTGCAGAATGATATCTTTGTCTCCAATTGCTGGTTCCCATATGTTCCTTATACCATCATCTCAATTTTGGTGTATCTGGAGGGAACCAAACTCATTTTTTATTAAAAGTCAGTCATCTTTTTGTGGAAAAGTTTTTATTCAGTTTAGGCTGAGCATGTTACTGTTAGCAAGAGGGAGATGAGAACATTTGACTGCATCATGAGAGGTTGTCATTGACCCAGGCAGAGAAAAGGCCATTTGCTAGCAATAGGCATGAGGAGGCATGTGACTCTTACAATTCCAGATGACATAATCAGAATAAGTTCCAAGCAAAACATGAAGAATTAAATATTTTAAAACTATTTTAAGGTTTGACTTTATTCTGAAAACATCATTTATTACTAAAGACCAAGTTAATAAGAGAATATATGATATGAGAATCAATATGAAAGAACTCTACTGTTGAGAAGTTAGGTCAATGCATTCTGAGACAAAGTCTAGAAACTGAGGATATGTCAGAGGAAAGTCATCATGAGAAAGGGAGAGGGGCACAAGATCTAAGGAAGTAAATACTGTCCAAGTGCAATATGTGCACACAGGAAAATCTCACAGGAAACCCAGTATTTTGTAGATTGAATATCACAAATAAGACATATTAAAAGAAAACCCTTAGAGATTTTGGAAGCATCATGTAAGATGCCAAGAACACTTTAGATAACTGTTGAAGAGTTTAAACTTATTTTCCCAAATGTATCATTTTAAAGACCTTTGTTTAACTCTTAATGTGGTAGAGAATTTCATAGTACAGGCTACTGTGCATTTTGGGGAGGTTTGCTGAAGGGTAGAGATGGCATGGATGACAACTGGAAAGGCTGTGTAGACTACATGGAAGCACTGTTCAGAAACAGCCTTCAGAAGAGATAACATCATCCAGACATGACCCACTAGTCACAAGGTCTCAACAGCTCAAGTTTAAACCAGACACAAACCAAAACACCTGTAAAGGAGAAGAACTAATTTTTAAATGTATTAAAAATGGAAAACTTAATTCTAATGTCTGGATTAAATCAAAGGCTTGACACAAAAATTTAGAGGTCTTTCCTGGCTTGTATTTTTTTTCAGTAAGTTATTCTCTTTGCTGACCTGATCTGAATGATTGCTCTTTGAGAACAGGACAGAGACACACACACAGACATTTATAGTATTAACTACTTGGTGACTGTAAAACTATAACTCTGAAGGTATCATCAATTTAATTTGCTTCCCCCCACCCCCTGAATAGACATGCTCTTCATTTCGATTAGATAGTTCTTTCATTTGAAAATGTACATCCATCAAACTTGAAGGACAATGTATTGTTTCTGTAGTATTGCCACAGTTTTAAATAATTTGGTGGACTATTTCTCCAATTCTATTGTGCAACTTCTTTTGAAAGAGCTAGCCTACAGTTTAATAATCATTACAAACAAATTATTCTTACATTTGCTTTCTAAATGTAGTGCAAAGGCACATAAAAAGTGCTAAGTAAGAGATATTTTATCAAACTTTCAAAGCACTCGAGGTGATAAATACTACAATTTTAACAGCAGTATAAAATATTGCTTGAATACAGATAATATTTCTAAGAATGTGAAACTCAAGGCTGCCTTTAAAGAAAGAAGAACATTTAAGTCACTCCTTAATTAGCACATTTTTCTTATGGTAATTTGTGGGTTTGTAATTCAAAATTTATAGATGAAATTTGGGCCTTAATTGAAAATATAAGATGGGAGATCGAGTTTTGTTATATTGAAAATAGCATGGTTTATTCTAACATAGTTAGAAAACATACTTTTGCAAACAAATGAGAAAAACAAAATAAAAGGATGAGAAAAACTGTAATATTGCACAAACATAATTCTATTTAAACATAATAATATGTATTAATTTTCCCTAGTCAAAACAACAACTCTCTTGTTTCTTACCAATAGTGCTGAAAGTCTGCAAAAATCCAAAGGCTTAACATGAAACCTAGGTAATTACTCCTGTTTCTCCTGTTTTATTTAGCAAGGGGACATGAATGAGTAGACATGAAGGTTAAGAATGTTTCACGGAAATTTGACCTAAGGGTTATAATGATTCTCAATATATTGATTTGTATTGTGGACTAAGAGGAGATGGCATAGAGATGCAGAATCAACCTTTGAAATTTTGTAGCAAATATTATAAGCAGCAAAGTAATTGAGAGCAATGTCTTTTAGCTAAGAGAAAGAGCACATGCGTTAACAGAATGCAAGACTCAGTTCTGAGTTTTACTTTTCCTAGATAGTGATTATCTTGGGAATTGTTCTTTGATGCCTCTCACAGGAAGTAATTTGGATTAAGCTTAGCAAAGGGCTGAACTTCTTGAAATACTTAACATTCCTTGTAATTGCTTCTTTAATTATTTTAGAAAAAAATTATGGAGAACTGTATTAGCATACTTTTTAATTTGGTTCATTTATAAAATCTTGCAGTTTGGTTTTTCAAAGGATGTTAAGACTACTTCTGATGCAGAGTGTTAGTCTATCACTTGTTTTCCTGTGTATGCTTCAATTAATGTCAACATGAATCACTTATTCACTGCTCTCTTTTGTAACAAGGAAGGTATCGTGTTAGTCGATGTGAGGATAAAGGGTGAGTTGATGAAAATATTGATATCATTAGGGCGATTTACAATTTTAAAAATCTGTTTACTTTCAGTTTCTTTCCTTGATTTCATTTCCTTGATCTAACAAAATGACATACTGTGCTTTAGTAAAATTCACAATGAAAAGATTGTCGGCTGATGTAATCTAATCTTTGGAACTTCACAGTAAAGGTCACTAAATTAAGAAGGTAAGTGGAAATCAAAAGGAGCTATAACCTTTATGCTGGCAAGGTATTAGCTGAGTAAACTCAAGTTAATTCTTCAACCTCACAGTGACAGAAGGGTTATGAGCAGTAATCTTCCCAGCACTGAATGTACAGTGTTACTGACAGAAACTGCATTTCCCTACAAAATCTTCAGTCTATGGAACTCTGCACACCCTTCATTGGTTTATAGAATACTTTTAAATCTTCAGATATTGGAGATAAGAAATAGTGCTAAGATAGATACTTAACTGAGCAGTTATTTAACACAACTAAACAAATTACACATTATAAAATTTGTTTGGTTATAGCCATTACTTTGTTGGAATTGTGACACAAATGCATGCATGTCCCACACACATATGAAAAAGTAAAAACATCCCCCTAGTTAAAAAATATACAGTGCTTTTTATAATATGTACATCTATTATACATTTTAAAACACACTGGATAGTTATAATGTGTTGACATGAAATACCTCTAAGTTAATTTTAAATTATAAATAAGTAATATGCACTTTGAAGTTTGAAATATTAAGTGTATGTGTGTGTGTGTCTGTGTGTGTGTCTGTGTGCGCGCATGCACAGTTATACATTTGCAGACATATAGTTTAAATGCTCTTGAAACCCCTTCCCTTTGGAGGACACAAGCACACATGCCAAAGCGTGAATGCATTTCATTAGATCTTCGAAGTGTGATTTCTCAATATCTCTAAGCATTACACAAAATCGATTCAGTGTGGGGATACTCCTGCATTAGAATTTAAGGTTTCTGATCCACAAATGCTCACATTGCATAAATTTTTATAATAACACCTTTGTTTCACCTCTAAATAACTATTTTTAGCAATGTCATGTAGTACACTGAGATTAACTTCTCTAAACATATTCAAATCTGGCAGTGTGTGGCCAAACAAATTCCCTGCATTGTAGAGAAATGCCTCACTAGATTACAGTTCAAACTTCCTTAATTTAACTTTTGATTTTTAAGTAATTTAAACTAATATCAGAGAACACTGGTCTGGAAATACAATTTTCTCTTCTAAATTAAGGAGAGCTGCATGTAGGAGCAGACAGTGATGTGGAGTCCTGTAGCTTCATAGAGGGCTTTAGTTTCTGGTGGTAAGTAGCTATGCCTGCTTAGACAAATGGCTTCTTTTTGCCTTATTTCCCCTCGTTCGTAAAATGGGAAAAGACAGGAAACAGAAAAATTAAATAATCCCCAACAAATGCTTGTAAGGAGAAGACACCAGGAAATGCTTCAGCGAATTTGTGTCCCACTCTGTGTGTCGCTCATCTGTCATCAGCAGGACGTTTTTCATCTCAGTTATATTCTAAAGAAGATCAAGGAAAGGAGTCTTTATTTCATGGTTTCTTTAAAATTTAGTAGTTTACTTTTAGGTTCAAGTTGATAATTTGAGTGCTACTAAACATTCAAAAATGATAAGTTATAACAAACACACAGTTTTATAAGACAGAGTAAAACCTGTTAACAGAGCAAGTTCATAAGATTGCTTTTTCTGTGTGTGTGTGTGTGTCCAATGAATCATAGGTATAAAAGTAATTTTTATCTTTCAGAAAATAATTGTTTTATTTAATTTTTATGCAATTCAAAAATTACTCAATTAACATTAAATTAACTGATTAAACATTTATTTACATTTAGAAAATAAGGCAAAAATACCATTATAATTAAAAGACATATATTAGGTAACTCTATACCCCTAGTATATTAGTAGGTGTTTTTCATTGCAAAATTAAACCATTGGTCCTTTAACTTCAAAAGCCTAGAAGTCAGACCAATATTGATGCTAACAAATATTTAAACAACTTAGAAACAACTGAGAAAATAAAGACCTAATACCAGTGAAACAAAGTTCTTATTTGAAGTACAAACTGGTGGGATTAGACATTATTGACCTTGAGGACTGATTGCATTGCTGGCCATTTGGTGGGTATCGCTGTGTGCTGTGTGTACTCTCAGGGTTCAAGAGTTTGCCAGGCTCCTTTGACCTAGGTTAAAGCTGTTTGAGAGAATCTTCCTTTAGTCTCCATCCTTTCCAAGCCAGAATAGGAGCATGTGAACACATGCACACCCACCCACCCACCACCACCACCACCACCACCACCACCACCACCACCACCACCACACTCACCTCCCCTGATCTTTAATCTGGCCTCTTGAATGTTATTCAACTGTGACCCTCAGTGCATTCACTTAAGTGTTCATCAGCTTTCTGGGGTCCATTTGCTCACTCTAATGGTAAATGATGATTTGATATCAGTAAGTAGTAACAAATTCATTAATTTTAGGTGGGTTACATTTTTTGGCTTAAAACACTTCTATTAATCCAACAACCCCCCCCCACACACACATCAATAGAATAGTCTCAAAAGCTACAAGAACTCTAATTCTGATTGATTTCAAGTCCTATACCCTTGAATTAAAAAGTGAATATACAATATAAACATAGCTTATAAGTGAAGTCATTGAGAAAGCCTGCATTTCAATTATTTACTTGTTTGTTCAGATTAGACAAAAGAAACTGCCAAGTTTTCACCTTATTTCTGTTCCATTGTCACAAAGAATGTGATTCATCTCTAGGCTCCAATGCAGTTGCTAGCACAAAACTACAACCATGAATGAAAACACAAGCACGGGACCACTGCCTTTTCTACCTGGAACCAATGACATCACAATCAGACAGTGCTTTCATGGTGTGTGCAGAGGCTCGCTGCAAGGGTGTGCCTACTTTCCCCCTTTCTCATCTTGCCATTGTTAGTGTTCATAAGCCACCCAGGGGCTGAGGACATTCTCAACAATATACCCTGAAGCCTCAATAAGTCAGCAGGGTCTCTAAGGTTGTATTATGTAAAAGTGAAGTAATTAAATACTGATTACTTACTGTTTAAGGAGGAAAAAAGATTCCAAAGGTCTAGTTTCATAGAGAAGGTTTCCATGAAAATTAAGCCTTTAGCCATTACATACATTCTGCTTGACTTGGTTCAAAAGGACAAAGACAAAACTATAAAAGCTACCTTTATGCAATGGAGCTTTGTGAAAGGACAGAAAGGCAACTTCCCTAAACAGTATTGCATTACTTTTCAAGATTTAGCTGAGACCCTCTGATAGGAAGGGTCCTATGATTTTGTTTTTGTTTTTTCAGGGTAGGAAGGCGGATTCTTCCTTTCCCAACTCTTGGCAAGAGTTAAGATGCTTTCAAAATTAAGATTAAGGTTAAGATTAAGATTAGCTAAAATGATTAAGTTAAGATTAGCTCTCTAGAAAGTTTGCAAACAAGCATCTTTTATCTGATTCTATTTTACTGCTCAGATGTACAAAAAAGCCAGCTGCTCCTTAGAATGCAGATTTTACTTATTTCAATTCTTCCCACTTCACAATCAGATAGTGGTACTCGGCAGGTTTTCCTCACTGTGACGGATACCTGAGAGAAACAGTTGAATAGAGGGAAGATTTTTTTGTGCCTGTAGATTCAGAGTCTGCAGACCAAGGGCAGACAGATTCTAGGCTCCGTGAAGTGAGACAATATTTCAGCAGTGGTAGCAAGTGGTGGGGAATTCAGCTCAACGCCCATTTTCCAGGAAGTGGAGAGAGAGGCAGGAAGTATACATTTCCAGGGACAGACTTTCAGCTAGGCCCCACTTTCCAGGACTTCTGCACCTCCCCAGACAGCACCAATAGCTGTAGACCCGGCCTTCATCACTTGGGGCTTGGAGGATGTTTTGAGAGTGGTCATGCGTACTGCAGTTCTTTCCTCCTCCACCCCACCTTGCTCCCCTGGTGATGTCCGTGGGTAGCAAAAAGAAAGAAAGAAAGAGAGAGAGAGAGAGAGAGAAAAAAAAAAAAAAAAAAAAAGAAAGAAAGAAAGAAAGAAAGAAAGAAAGAAAGAAAAAGAAAGTCCTAAAAATGAAAGAAACATCAAAATTACTTTTCTTGCTGGAAATCGTCTCAGAGTTTGTCCGTTTGTCCCTCACACTCGAAACTCCGCTGCCTAGGATGGGGTTGCTTCCCACCTCATAGATGGGAATAAGACTCTCCCAGCAGGGGTTGGCAAAGCACTTTCTAGAATTTATTTGTTTCTTAGAATTACCGCCAACAATCTATTCACAAGTATGTGGGCAAAGTTACTTAAATATTTATCTGTCTGGGGTGACCATTCCAGCTTTGCTAAATACCCTCATTTGGTGATAAAAGATGTTCTGAAGATGCACCACCAAGTATCTTTCTTATCATGTGACTATCACAAAATGTTCTTCCAAGAGTCTAGATGGTGTAAGTCAGTCACCCCACATGGTCTTTTGATGTAAGAGGTACATCCAAGTGAGATATTGGCTGCTGCTAGCGTAGCAACAGCCTTTTAAAAATGTTTTATTTTTATCCATTCCTCGCTGTCTCTGTCTGTCTGTCTGTCTGTCTGTCTGTCTGTCTGTCTCTCTCTCTCTCTCTCTCTCTCTCTGTGTGTGTGTGTG